ACTCTTTATATTCATGCAGTATTTATTTACTCACAAAACACTTTTTTTGAATCCACTGGTGTGAAGTGTTTAGTCTTAGTTCACTTAGTGCTTTACTTAACTCTAAAGTGTCAGTAACTGACCCATGCCAGGGTTTTTACACTATAAAAGGAAGGATGATTAACTGATGTTTGCGTTTTGTGATCGCATGAAGTGTTTTGCAAGTATTTGATGTTATTTTTAGCTATTAGTTTCATGCATCATTGACACTAAAAGGACTTATTGTATAACAGGTCACTGAACTACACTTTTGTTCACTAACTATTCGTTAGTTCACTATTAGTGTACACCATATCTGTTGCTGACACATTTAGGTCAGACAGGAAACACACACGTCACTGTTGAGGCTGCAGTGAGTGCAAAGGTGGAAGTCCTCCTAAGACCACAGAAAGAGAAAAATAAAAAAGAAGAGGGGCGCTTACAAGGTAATGTATACTATCTCTCTGAAAACACCTGTATGAAACTGTTGCAGTTTTTGAGCCATGGGCCACGCCCTTTAATGGTGACGATATTATGTCAATACATTACGTTTAAAGACAGAGAATCAGAGAAAAACAGTGTATACTTTACTATGTTATTAACACTGAATTTGCAGTGGCCCTTGTTTGTTTGTTGTTTTCCACTTTTTACACTGAAAACGCCTGGCTTGAGAGTTCACAGCAAGATTTCCATAACAGTTTGCCTCTCAACAAGCGCCTGGCTTTATAAGATAGCATGAGAGCTGATATCTCACATTTGCAAGGGGTAGCTGATCAGTATGAAGTTGGTTAAAGGGGGGGCAGGGCTAAACATCTTAATTAGTCTGTACTAAATTTACTATATAAACTGCCTAGACTACTTGGAGTAGCAACAGCTTCTGGAAATGACTTTTATAACGCTCAGTTGCTTACAAATTATGCACATCACATATCCTCCCCTGGAAATGACCACTACAGACCCTTATATTGTCTCTGTCACCACTGTTTACAAACTGTACAGGGTCTATAGAGATAAAGTAAATAGTGCATTTTCCCCATATAATTTATATTATTTAAGCGTTTTGCCCATTTTTCTCCAAAAAGTGCTAAAAGTGAGAGTGACTGGCAGGGGCTAGTCAGCGAGGTAAGTGAGGGGGAAAGACCGTAAACAGCTGCAGACACTGACCGGTTTTATAGATGTTTCCCGGTGTCCATATGGAAACGAGCCTCGGTCTCTTAGCTTTCATACACCTGGACGTTCATTAATAGACGCATGACCTCAACGTTGTTTTGACACCGGTGGGCTTTTCATTGATGGCGTCTGCTAGCTATATAATATAAAATATCTATACAGATAAAGTAATTTATGAAATATTTTTCATGCATTATTTTTCAAGAAAAACACACACAGTAATGTTTATATATAATTTTATTGTATTGTTTATTGATATTTGAGCAGGCTGAGCCAGCCCGGTCATGTTAGGCTGACCTGTGACATCATCAAGTACACTGGTGTTCCAATTGTACACAAATCGCGCTACCTTCTTGCATTTCTCCAGAATGCCATGTGAACTACGAAGTCGCAAAGAAGGGAGAATATGAGTACGGACTCGTGTACTTAAGAACTGAGAAACGGCCAATGTCTAAAGCAACTACGAAATGCTGAAGAAAGAAGAAGAAATCCCACGACTCCCTGAACTCCATCGTCCTTATATCGTACAATATGTTGATTTTCAGGGGGACGAGATATCTTTGTCTGCAACTTTATGAATACACTCTGGAAGAATATATCAATAATAATGACCATGACCCACTGGTGTTAAAGAAACTTGTCAAACAGATTCTTGAAAGTCTAAAGGTGCTTCATTGTCAAAATCATTTGAATGGGAGTCCAACATTTAATATGTACAGTTTGGATCATGTTCAAAATGTGTACAGATTCTTTGTGAATGGTACTCATGGCCATTGATCAGTGGTCTTTGATCAGTGGTCTTTGATCAGTGGTCTTTGATCAGTGGGTTTTGGTCAGTGGTTGTTGATCAATGGTCATGAGAATTTGCATAATTAAGATTAAGGAACTGACCTCCCAGCCCATTGTTCCTCAGTGGGCTGGTTTCAGTCATTATGCAAATGTACTGTTTATAAAGTTGGGGAAATCTGCAGTCAGCTGAGACTGAAGAAGTCACTTGGATGAGTGATGAAACGTTTCTCCCACAAAACGCTACGTCCAGATGAACAGAATCAACTTTTAGAGATTATGCATGGTATTTATCTCATTTTAAGGGGATAATTGCTTTGTTTAACATTGTATTTTATATACTAATCTTTTTTCCACATTTTCTCTCTATTTCTCTCAGATCTAGTGTCAGTGTTTTTATGTTACCTCCATTGAAATAATTTCTTCTTTTCCACCTGTTGATTCAGCTCAGGATAGTCAAGGAACGTCGATTACCGCGGGAGCGTCATTGCACTGGATTTCGCCCATAACCCGCCGCGTACCATAAGAACGCCGAAGGTCTCCTTTCGCGTTCCTCAGGAACGCCGCGGGACGTGACAAAAACGTCGGCATGTTACGCCTCGGGAGTGAGAACGGGCTGGCATGGTAGCCATTACAATCCAAGCTACAGCCAACCTAATACAGGGACACACCTGTGCATCCTCCATTACAGCTCCTTCTGCAGTCCTGATGCATTTTAGAAATAAGGACAACATGAAACACTGAGACTGATTTTTTTTTCTTTTACAGCCATATTGTTGGGTTTTTTCATAAACCACATCTAAACCACATCTATCTAAATCTGAAAGCTGTTACCGTCATTTTAATTGATAATATATCTGTTGAAGCAGGAAGATATCGCTCAGATGCAGAAATCCTCACCTTTGGCGCGGTAAGTTATTTCTCTTACAGTTTTTTATAACGGTATTGCAAAAATAATCCTTATGTTAGCGTAAAAACAGCACACATTGTAGACCTACTGTTTTAACTCAACGTCAAAGGATTTCAAGTTTACGGATAAGTCTGAATTCTTCAACGCGTACGTGTTGCTCCGAAGTTTTACCGCCTTCAGTGTTCTCAGCCTATTTCCTGTTGCGCATCCTCCTGAGATTTAAAGTTAAGATTCCTATTCAGTCATATTAAGCCGGATGTTTTGGCAAGTGTGCATATGCCTAGTGTATAATCATACACATATTTGTCTTTACATTAAAAAAAACATTCAACAGGAAATGTGAAGGAAGAATAACATCTCTGAATCCCAACAGTAAATTTCTCTAGTCTCATTCTGTATTGAGAGATCATATCTTAAACAGCAGACACCAAAAGTAAAATTTCTTACAATCCTACAACAGTTTTCTTAAAATTTGTCATGTAGCCTATAGATAACTGAAAGAGAACTTATTGACTGAACTACCCATACATACTTTAGACACGTGTAAAGAGTGCGGCATTTCATAGTTTAGATGCAGTTTGTTTTAATGCAACTGTTTTGCACTGTAACAAGATGTTGTACATCTTCTCTCCAGGTACTGTATGTCATAACACAAAAATCCAAAGTCACAAAGGAATGGAGAGAAGACAAGGTCCTGTTATACATGCAAAACACTTTAAAACACAGTTAAATGCTTTCAAAATATTATTTTTGCATGCACAAATCCTCAATTTGTAGTCTAAATAGAATCTTAGGATTCTGTAGACATTTATAAACAACTATTAAAAAATCAAAATAAAGATCCTTTAAACTCCAGTTTTAAGGATTTTAGGTTTCAGGTATTTTAGGTAAAGCTGGTTTAATATTACTTGGTTAATGACAGTGCTTTCTCGTTCGCAGGCAATGTGAAGCAAAACCACGAATATCATCTCTCAGCTACATCTCTATCCCCACCAACAGAGACACATCCTATAATCCAGTGCATAAATAACAATGACCTCAGAAAGCTCAAGAAATTACTGAAGGACAATGATGTAAATAAAGTTTACCCTTGTAGCGAATGGTGTGATCATATAACCCCACTGATCTCCGCTGTTGTAAATCACACAGATATCTGTTCTTACCTTGTGCGTCAGGGTGCAGACCCAAATATACCTTCTGAACTCCAGTGGACACCTTTGCATTATGTCTCATATTCCAAAGCACCACTTTATTTTGTGGCTCTGTTGCTCGAGGCAAAAGCTAATCCAGATGGATGGAGTCCTACTCCAATGCAACAAGAGATACCCACACCACTGCAAGTTGCAGCCTTTGAAGACAGGGAGGATATCATGAAAAGACTGATCTCTGCTGGCGCTTTGGTGACACTGCTGCCCAAAAATGATCCTCAGTGGCTTATTCACAGTAAAAAAAAATATCTCAGATGATTAATCACCTTGCATCAAATGGAGATAGAGTGTGTTCCCAAATTAGACATTTTTTTTGGATATGGAAATTGCTGTTTTTGAAAAAACACCTGACGAAGTGTTTAAAATGTTCAACAGTCACATGTTGTTAGAGCATCCTAGGTCTCATCTGACCATGACTGAAATCCTTTTTACTGTTACTGGGAGAGGAAAAGATAAATACTGCCAGGCATGTATTAAATGGCTAAAGAAAACTGGAAATGTGAATACTTATATTGCAGGTGCAGCCAGTCGCTTTCCAAATATCCCTAAAACACATGTAGGGAGGGCAGTTTTCTGCACAATGGATCAAATAACAGATGAGCATGCAGTAGCTATAGTTCCACGACTACTGAAACTGCTTTGCTTAAAAGAGAGACTTGACATCTGTGCAGGAGTGCTACAAGCACTGTATGCGATAACACAGAAAACAAAAGGCACAAAGGATGAATTATATGCTAATGGATCCTTCAAACTGTGGAAAAGAAAGGTGACTTACAGATGAGAGGTCAAACTTCTGCATTCCTAAATTTCAGTTCACAACCACCATGTTTTGTTGTTGCAGTTTCCCCAAGAGCTGGTTCGGAGGATGGAAGGGAAAAAACCGCCGTACCCTGAAACAACGCTGGGATTACTGCGCTTTATACGCAATCTCCATGAGCATTAGTAAGTTGAACTAAATGAAAAGTGATAAATTCATGAACACATATTCATATGTATATATATGAATTTCTTGTAACTATATGCACAAATCACAAATATTTCTGATATTATGTCAAATTTGGAAGCTTACGTCCATTGTTAATACTCATTAATAAAACTTTCTTTGTTCACAGTGAAGAGGACGCTGCTCAAATTGACGTATTGGTGTTATTTCCTGATCTCTTTGGGTGTGTTTACAAGTTTACCAAGGATAAAGGCTGGAATTTAGAAGGAAAGAAGGAAATGTTGCAAAAAGAACAAACAAAGGACATTAGTACTGCCTTTGCAATGTTTGAGCTTGGATTGACAAAAACTGAGCCTGTGCAACTTTCAAACACTCTTGAGACATTGCAGGCCATTTTGGAGTGCCTGCTATCTGCCATCCCCAAAGCTGTTGGTCCCGAAGCAAAGCTCTGCAAGATCTTAGCAGTCTTTGCACTACTGATGTTTTAGTCACTTCTGTCCGTAACTAGCAAAATCAAGATGTGTTCTGCACATTAAGCCAAAGTTTTGCACCTGTTGTTCATTGTGACCACTTTCCAAAGGCTGATAGATGGAGAGATGTTATTTTAAGGGACTTACTATTATTAGATTTGAGTAATGTTTTTTTAATGGTTTTATATTTAGTAGTTAATCTAAAATGTGCTAATGTGGTGGTTGTATTTGCAAATGTTAGTAAAGAAATTTTGAACCTAAAAAAATGGTAACACTGGCAGTACTTAAGGATAAATTCTTCCACTTCTGTTTTTTTAATTACATACAGACAGAAATTTCTTCAGTGTTATACCAAATAGGAAAATGATAAACCTACTTTTTCCTCTTTTTTCTTTATTTAAATTTTGTTGTGTGAATAAAATACATAGCTTAAGTATGCATTTTGATTTTTGAAAGTTTATACATAACATGCAACTGTATACTAGTAATATGTACTATGCCAACTTTTCTATACATGTATTTTGAATTAAAGTGAATGTCATTGAGAATTTACCAAATATATTAGAATTTGAATGATTTATTAAAGATTTTATCTCATTTTCATATTGTAAAAAAACTGCAAATTTTATGTTTAGTAGCTAAATAAATTTATTTTTTCAAAAAGAGTTGAAAGATGTGCTCCTTCCAGGCTTCAGAATGTGGAAATGCTGAATTTCATTCAATTAAAAACATAGTAGCTTGCAGATCTGAAACCTGAAACCAAAACTGAAATATCTTGAACCTGGGTTCTTTCTCAAGGCCAGGGGTGAGTAACTTGACTGGCTTTAAAAAGATGTCCAGCGGTCAGCACTCTTGTGTATGATCTCAAAATTATTTGTCATGAGTTCATGACCTGCAGTCAATTGTTTTAAGTATAACTAAATACTAATCTGTAATGGTGGCTATATAGTGCCAATACATTCCATTTACATTAGCATCAAAAAGGAGGAGAAACAGCACATGCTTTATTGTGTTATTAAAACTGAATGTGCAGTGGTCCTTGTTTGTTTGTTTTTTCAGGCTTTTTACAGCCTGGCTTGAAGGTTCCCAGCAAGATTTCCATAACAGGTTGCTTCTCAACAAGCTCCTGCCTTTTACCATTACCATTATATATACACATAATTCCCATCCATTCGCTTCCGCTTATCCTTTTCAGGGTCGCGGGGGGCGCTGGAGCCTATCCCAGCTGTCAAAGGGCGGGAGGCGGGGTACACCCTGAACATGTCGCCAGTCTGTCCAGGGTGTCACTCGCACATTCACA